TTGCAAAAGTTATTCATACGCCACGTTGACAATAGTAGAAAATGCAATTTATGTTGGAAAAACATTGCGTAAGTGCATCTGAGGCGAAATTCAAGTAGCTGCTGCTGCCAGCACCCCGAAGCAAAGGCAGTTGAAGACAAGAGCAGAAGAAACAGGAAGTAGAAGGGGTTTCTTAAGAGTTATTACAGAAAGATAAATTTATAATAATATCATATTAATTTTATTGATAAGTATAGCTAAGAAATATTACTTTAATAGTTTTCTACATCAATTTGATAGTTACTTTTTAATTTTCTTTTAACATTTCACTTACTATTTTATCTAAATATACTCCCTTTATAAAATATCCCCTTTGTTATTCCCTTTCTACGCCACTGTAACTACCAGGCACACATGCCGAGGCTCAGTCTGAGGCTCAGGCGGTGGCAGGCAGTCATGTAAGAGCGTTGCCATATAAAACATCTAGAAATTCCAATAAAATTTTCATGCAATTTTCCTCACACCGCTTTTACACACATGCAGAGTATAAGCTTTGCCTCCTCTGCTTTTGGCCAGCTCATGGCTTATGCCGCCTCCTCCGCTCCAACCAGCAAAGGACGAACCCCAAGAACAAATGGTAGAATGTGTATGTGTACTTGTGGCAAATGCATATCTTAGACACTCAATAAGTAAAATAAACAATGCCAAGAAAGTGCCAAAATCAATTGGCTTTCTAAATGTCAGCCAATGCGAAGGAAGTGCACTCATCTCTCTTTCTCTCTCTCCCTCTCGTCCTTTCCCCTCAAGGATATCAACTGGGCCAAGGCCATAGAGTAAATATAGAGGTGGGTAAATATTCGAGCACAACTCTTTGGCATAAACAACAAATTAATTGTGGCTCACCTAACCTTTGACCTACCCCCAAAATCGATGCAAACAATTCGGAATTTACATCGAGGCTTATGCAGATTGATGGAACATCAAATAAATTTTAATTTATTCAGCTATCTGTTATGTTACTTTTTATGCGAATCGAGGCGGACCTTTGATGTTGCGAGCATATTAAGATTTGGCTATAAAGTTGATTGAAGCGGCAGTGTTTTTTCCATTCATCCTTTTGCTGTTGCTGTTTCTGGAGGTACGGGACTCTGGTGGTCAGGCCAATTTAGCAGCGCTTAACCACAGGACACAAGGGGGTGGGGCGAGGTGGGACAAATTTCATTGGACGTGGCGAAAAATTTCATTTAAAATATATATACATATATATATATTTTGCACACATCACAAGTGCGGCCGGCTGCAAGTGTAATTTATGCGTCTTCACACAGACACACTGACACCAGGGCTAGTGAAAATGTGTAATGTTGACCCGATGCCAGGGCTGTCCTGCTGGATGTCCTGGTCCTAGCCAGGGTCCTGGATGCGAACATGGACGTCCTGCCAGCCATTGCTCGACGCTTTTCATTTTTCTGTTTTGGGCTAAAATACCAAATTACGACATAAATAATGCATAGATAACGAAATTTATTACATTTCATGTATCAGGCAGGCAGCCTGGCAGGCTGGCAGCCCGTCGGACAGTCCGACAGTCCAACAGTCGGGGCGAAAGTCCGGACACAAGTCCGTAGTCCAAGCTAGGGGCCACGGGCCACGGCCACGGGTTGGAGGGACAGGCTACTGGCCACGTCCGGATTTTCGGCCCGCACCAGCAAAAGTTTCACATCAAACGGGCACGAATGCTGCTTCTGCTGGAAATGTCGCCTTCTTAATTTATGGCTCGTGTTAGTTTCTCTGATTTCCTAGTAAAACTTTATCGAAGCATTCTATTAAGCATCCTGCAACTTGCAATTTAAAGTGTAAGTGTTGCTGGTATACAAGGGAAATGTGAAAAGTAGGAAGGAGAATTGATTGATTGCCTTTCTGTACATTTTTTGTAATAAGAATAATAACATATTTTAAGGTCTGTGAAATAATTAACATTAAACTAAATATACTTCCTACTTATATATATACATATGTTCATATATATATGGATATACAAACATCAGCTATACTAGAAAAGGTTTCCTTAGAAAGAGATTTGATTTATCGATATCTATCTTTCATCAAGAGGTGTGTGTTTATCGTTCATTAAACTTAATTTCGTTATTTATTGAACTAAAATATTTTTGATATATTTTTGACTTTTTAGTTCAATTAGATTCAGCATTTTAAATATATTTATCTACGTTTTAAAACAATGATCCAAGGTCTTCAAATAGACATATTATTAATACATCATGGAGAGTTTTATCTGCGATTGAATAATGTTATCTTTATATATATTTTTTACGGATCTATATTTAATGTTATACAATGTCTACCCTTTCCTGGAACTGTCTCATCAATTTTATCCTCTCAATATTAAAAAACAAACAACTTGGGGATTAATCGACTTTGACGAAGCAACAATACACAATGCAAATTCATAAAATTCAAATTTCAATCAAATTACTCTCGAGCAGTTTTTGCCCCGGCTTCTTGTTTATGCTATGAAAATTAAGTTAACTGAAAATGCGCCAAACAAAAAATGCAAAACTTTTTGCGGTTTTTTGCGCTTGACTTCAGCTTGAGTTCCAGTTCCCATTTCCCAGTTCCCCTTTCCCAGCTCCAACGTCCGCATTCGCATCCCACATCAAGCTGATGCTGAAGCTGACGCAGATGCGGATCCGGATGCGGATGTCTTGCTCATATCGCAGCCAGTTGCTTATAATTGCATTTGCATATTATTTCCCTTTTATTGCACATGTCGCCCGGCTTGACATGCCATCACTTCGGTGGTGCCAGCGGAAACCCTTAAACCATTTATTTTTTACTCCACTCCCTCCAACGCACTTCTCCTCCCAGCTGGGCTCCTTCTTCCTGCTGCTTGGACTGCCATTTTTATTTCAGTGAAATGTTTATAAAATGGCGGCACGCTTCCGGCACCAGAAAGAAAAAGCAACAAGAACGGGGATAGAGGGCGGCGGCAGCATCACCAAAAGAGTTAAAAGTTAAGCGTCTCTGGTGGGAAAAAATTGTACCGAAATAATTTGCATATAAATTATGATTGAAGGCGCCGGGGCCAAAGGTGTCAAGCGTGTTGACTGAAGGCTCACCATCAGCAGGGCGCGGGGTCTTAACCCAACGCTTTTCCGGATCCCAATAAATTGTGATAGCTGCCCATCTGGAGGTCAGTGAACCGCTAAGTGAGCTAAGCAATAAATATCTCGACAACTTCCCGTGCAGACTGTCGCTTGGCTGTTATTTGGAAGCTGCAAAAGTCATAGAAACAGCTAGAGATGCACTAGGAAAAGTAGCTGAAAATTGTATTTCAATTAAAAAACTAGTTTAAAATATATTTAATGTCAGTTTTATTAGTTTTTTTCTTACTAACTGATTCATAAATCAATATAAACTTACAATAAAACAATGCAGTTTATATATATGCAATATTTTCAGGTTCTTAAGTTGACAACTCAACTTAAAATAGCTTTATATTTTTATAAACTTTAAATGGTATTAAAATTGCACTTATTTTTCAAAGTGTCTGGAAGCTACCGTGGCAATATCCTGCACGCTTGTCAGCGGCTTAGCTTCCCATTTCGTTGGCAATCCTCGTCCGCAGGTAAACAATACTAATGCATATGCTCTGGTTTTCGACTCGGCACTTTCCGTATATATGTATATACATATATAGTTGGAGTATTCAGAGAGTGAAAGAGACAGGTTGGGGTCTGCACTTCCGGCACGCATGAGATGGCGGACTTACGTCACAGATCGTCAGCATCAAGAGTCCCAGAGATACATGTATCTCTGTATCTCAGGACGAACTGAGTGAGTGAGAGGGGGGCTAAACGGTGCACGTGTTTTCCTTTTTCCAAAGGGGCCCCGAAAATCAAATCTGAAATGAATTTACCTTTGTTGATTTGCGACGGCTTTTGCATTTCAGCTTATTACATACACCCGCACGATACCGACTACCCAACGTGGCTTGTTGATTTGCTGGCAAACCCTAGCGATTGCTGGCTCGGATTGCGAAATGAGCTCAAGACAAATGTAAATATTTTTTAGTGCTTGCCGTGGAAAGGGAAACAGGGACAAAGTTTGGGTTTGGGTCTTATGATGAATGATTGTGTGCTTCCTGTAGATTTGTAGCCGCCGATAAACTCAATTTGTTTGCGCTTTCGTGGAGTGGAGTGGAGAGGAAAACGAGGCATGCTCTTCTCAGGGTCTCGCATTACGCATACGCCGTGTGTGATTGTCAAAGTTTTTAAAGCCGATACTTTGCGCTAGTGCACGCTTCGTCCAAGGACATGTCGTTTGGGAATTTATTTTCAATTTGATGAGAACTTCGCCTTTTGTTATCCATTTCCACTTTTCATGGCTTTTCTATTGCGATTGCATGCATAGTTTGTCCTATTTTCTTTAGTTTTATCAAGCTCTCCTATTACGACTTTGACAGAGAACGAGCTTTACTATTTTGTTGTACTTATTGCTCAATTATTGTTTATATATCTATTGCCATTTGCTTTTACACTTTAGCTGGGATAAGAAATAACATTTAATTGCTTCATTCGCACTATAAACCTTAGCAGAGCTCACGGAAAATTATTAAATGCTATTTATCACTCTGGCGACAACGGAAATGTGTATCTGACACCTACAAGAATGCCGAAAGGGATCGGTGAGGGGATGGCATGTGCAGCTGCTGAGGAGGAAATTGGTAGCATCTGGGAAAAAATTGCACTTGAGGAAATTAAAAGTTGCATTTGAATGCCACGCACGAGCGTAAAAACTAATATCCGCCCTTCACGGCTTTGTCTTGAGAATAAAAACGTGTTTTTAAATGTCCAAGAAGAGAAAAAATGGATTGCATTAGAAAGATTGTTCTTGAGACATTTGTTGTATTAAATATACATAAAAGAAACCTATACTATGGCTAAATAAATTGCAACAAGATTTTTTCGCTTCAGAGTTTTCAAATATTTATTATCCTCTTACAAATAAAAAGTATAACTTCGTTAAGCAAATAAAATTATCGTAACACATCGTCCTTAAAGTATGCCACAACATTTCGAGTGCAGTCGCAGATACTGCCAGAAAGTAGGCAAAGATACAAAGCTAGCTAAGAATTACGCTACGTAAAATTCATGTATGGATATATCGGTGTATTAATCAATCGCTCTTTAGACATATAGCACAAACATGGCCGAAATGGCCGCCAAGAAGGAGAGGAAGGTGGAGGCGTAGAGCACGGCACAGGTGGTGTCCATCCAGGAGACGAGTGGTCCCACGGAGAGCGACACAATCAGCTGGGCAATAAAGACCATGCTGCTGATAATGGCCACATCGGTGCCCAGACCTCGGGCCTGTTTCAGTGGCACAGTCTCGCCATTTTTCACACAGAACTGTGGACACAATAAACAAAAATATGTCCGAAATCAGAAATCACAAATGGTTTCGCTTCGATCTTGTACTTACACAATTTTTGGCATGGTAGTTGGCCACCAGAATGAAAGGCACCGTAAATATTGTTCCATAAAGAATCCCCGCCGCGGTACTGAACACCAAGACACCCCACTTTGTGGGCCACAAGCCCAAGATTAGCATTCCAATGCCATAGTAGATCATGCCACTTATATACACAGCCTTGGTTCTGGAAAATTATGAATGTTTAAACGGTTAGTATAAAATTAAATAAAGTAATCGTATCATTGTTTTCTTTGATCTTTTGATAATTACGAACAATTAAAATGAACTTATTTTGGATTGCTGAAGACTACCAGCTTATTTCTTTATAAACTTTTAAACAAATAATTTGAATGTATATATTATAATTTAAATTATTTAAATACAATTTATTCAAAGAATCAAATTATTTAAATTAGATTTAAAAGATGAATAATCAAAGAGCTATCGCATCTGAGCATAATTTAATCGATCTTGATTTCAATTTATATCCGCTTTTAAATGATATAGCATTTGCTTTTAGTAAACTAAACTAAACATCATCAAGGCTATAAAAACCAGCTTAATCCATTAAATAGTTTAGGTTTTGTAGTCAGAAACCGCAAGTCATTCTGTATAAATTATTATCATTACGAGGTCTTACTTGGTTAGAAAATACTAAGTCAAGCAAAGAACCAAATGCTAACCTTTCTGTATAAATTAATACAAATTTGATGACTTATTGAAGGGATTTTTAATATTTATAGAATAATTAGCATGTATCTTACCCGAACCACTTCATCAACTTTGTCACAGACAGCGAGTAAATGGAGCAAGAGAAGGCATATATGGCCATGCCCCAGCAACCAAAGCGGACTCCCTCCTCGTAATTCTGGGCAGCCTCTGAGTTGGGAGGAGCCATTGGGTCCCCATGGAAAACTGCCTCGCCCACAAAGTCCGTGAAGTACAGGCAGTAGGTGACGTGGCCCATCCAGCAGAAGAGATTGGTGAGGGCCAGCATCCGCATCGAGTAGGGCATGATGAAGATGCTCTTCAGATAGGATTTCAGGGATACTGGTGCTTCCGCACTGGACTGCAACTCCACATCCTGGGCCTTGCTTTGCTTGGCCAAAGACGGTGAGTAGCCATTCTGGTAGCTTCCCTGCAGGGCCTCCACTCGCTTGGGATCATCGGCGGCCATCTGGAGCTCTAGCTGTGTGGTCTCCTGGATGTAGTAGATGGCATTGTTATTCTTCTTCAGTTCCCGTTTGATGGCTTGCTCGGAAAGTGGACGTAGCAACTCATCCTGTTCGATGAGGGGCAGAGGAATCTCCCGGAAGGTGGTCACCGTGATAAGGTAACAAATCACAAATATAATGGTCACCAAGGTGAATACAGTTGGTATATTTCCTCCCATAAAGGTGCCAATGTGCGTCTTCTCCCAGTCAACGCCTCCGATGGCATAGCCAATGGTTCCACCGAATCCAGCAAAAAGCGCGAACATGGTCATCGCCTTTGGCTGCTCCTCGGGCACACACATATCCAGCAGATAGGTACGAGCCGGTGTCTGGCAGGTGTCTGCATCGAAGTCCAGCAGAACCATTCCCAGGATCGTAAGGATAACGGCAAACTTAAAGTCAGAGGCTGACGGTCCAGAGTCGGTTTTACTCGAAACCAAGGCAGCTACTGCTCCATCTCCAATTGTGTTGGTGATATTCAAAGCTGTATCCTGGTAAGTGTAGCCTACGTCACCCAGCAGCACACCCAGATCCTTGCCATATGGCACCAGGATCAGGCCGCAAAGGATACCGAAGGACAATATCGATATTATCGGTCGCCGGCGACCCCAACGAAGCTTGCACCGATCACTAATACTTCCCAACAATGGGGACACAAAGAATCCTATCAAGGGAGACAGTCCCCAGGTCATGGACATATGCTTATGATCCACACCGATCTGCAAAAGGATCGGGGACACGAAGCTTGTCTCCGCCGCGTAGGCAAACTCAATGGCCATGGCAATGGCGGATAGCCGGAACATCTCGAACCGCGTCTTCCGGCGGAAGACGTGCGAGTAGTCCTCATCCTGCTCCCGGGCATGGTTCTCCCGGGTCTTGAGCATGTACTTGATCATGGGATTCTTTGCCGAGGAAAGCTGGTTCGCCTGTGAGGCGTCTGCCGCAACTCCTACCATTTCGATCGGCGGTTAATTGATACTGTCGGGGGGAAATATAAAAAGGGAAAATAAATTCATTGAATAAATTAAAAGATGCATTATTATTATATTGATTAAAGTGAAAAGAATATGGGAATATGGAACATTTGTATATTATAATCTAAGCTTAGGTGATCATGTATTTATAAGAAAATTAGTTCATATATTATTTAACAGAATTTGGAAGAAGCGAAACATTTTAATAAACTAACAAATGTTTACAAGTTTTTTGTTACCGAAAAAATTCCCAAAATAACGTTGAAGTAATTTTGCAGTGAATATGTATTAATAATAATAAATTTTGCTATTTGCGAGGAGGGCAAAATATGATCCATTTATCATCATCCATTTATCATTCAAATTAAGTGAATTATGAATACTACAACTGGAGAAAACTAATTCACTTCTCTTTACAAATTATTAAAAAGTCTAAAGCTCTTCTGTATATGTATTGAAATTTCCTATTGTTTTCTACGTCTCAAAAGATTATAATTATTAATAATGAATTTAATGATAATTAAGAAGAAATTCAAAGATGATCATTTTTATTATATTCTGAAAAGGAATGCAGTTCGTTTCTATATAGAAAACTACAAAACATGCGATCTTAAGCCGACTGCTGGCTGTCTCTGGCATTCGACATCATCCAAAATCTAACAGTTCACATCTGGGCTTAAATTGCTTATGGCAATCTTTAATTACCAAATGAGAATCGTGATGTTTTCTCCATCTCAGCCCAGAGCCCAAAGCCCAGAGCCCGGAACGCAAAGACATTGAACCGATTATTTAAACTAGAAACATCTGGTGCGGCACGTCGAAGAAGCGTCAAAGATCTCTGATTAATTGAGCAGCGCGGCCACAGTGCATTGGCAGTGGCAAAATATGAATTTCAATTTACAATTTCCAATTCAATTGCAGCGAGGCCCTCGATTTGTGTCACTCTGCGAATGACCATAAAGCTCGAACCCTGAACGGCGTTATTTGTTTACAAACAAATTCAATCACAGCGAAGGAAAACCGAGAATGAGTTCCGACTCGAACGACGCTTATCGGGAATAGCGAAATCTGAATCGAAGCGAAGCTGAGACCGAAATGGGTTCACAAACCTAATTAAAATCGGAAAGTAAATAAATATACACATGTCTGAATGCGATAGCTTTCTTTGGAGCAAAATTGTGCTACTTAGTTGGATAATAACATATACAATGTTACTTGAAAATGAAGTTGGAAGGACGCAGAAATTGTTTACAAATAAGCAAAAGAGTTGAGGATATACAGAAATTTAAGCATAGTGACTTTGTTTTTTTTTGCTCTTCATTTTTAAATCGATAAACAAAGAATCAAATTCGCTTTATGAGAGTTTACCGAATGATTTCTTGGGAACTATTACATATATTAAAAGTTTATTCATAGGATAATATAGGTATGGATAAAGTTCAAAAATTAAGTGATTTTTGTATGACTTTCGAACTTACTTTAATTATCTAATAATATATATTATATCACACTTGTTTTATATATATTTTTAATCACTTTTGCTTTCTTTATTTATAACAAAATATCACAATTTTAGATTTAATCACTATTTTTCGATCGATCAGTTTCTCTTTTGCTTGAACTTGACAATTAGCCGCATTTTCGAATTGTGGCAAGCGGACACTTTGGCAAATTAACGGTTCAGCGGCTTATATTGGGATCAATTGTATCTTTGGGGGGCGATCAGCATTAACTATCAACGGCACGACACACAAACTTTCCTACAACCAAATCGTCGCGTGTCCAAATAGCAACTGAGTCTGGGTCTTCGAATCCACGAATCTGCGAGTCTCCGGCCTGAGCCATTGACCAAACTTATCTGCTCCATACGTGTGAGGAGCACTAACAACAACAGCAACAAGAATAATAAAATACAATAATAATAAAAGCTTGAATAAATTTGAAATACAAAACATCTAATTTAAACGCCGGCAGTCGGTCGTCTATCATTCACATTGTCGCAAAACTGTGGTAATTGAGACAAGTTGCAGGTCATCTGGGGGCTGGGATCCACAAATAATGTACAATATGTAATGTGTCTCCGGGTCTAACCCCTTTCTTTGGAAATCTCAGGAAATCTCCTCAGGTTAAATGACCGGCAGTTTTGGCTTGAATATTCATAAATATACATATGTATATGTATTCGCAGAAACCGCGGATCGTAATCAAATCGCCACAGACTAGGTCAATAAATGTTTAAATAAACAAGGCGGGCAACAATAGATGAGCTTTTCAAATTAATTAAGAAGCCGCTGGCATTAATTGCCTGTTACTATTAGGAAGTCATCTGATAAGCATTCCGCAGTTGACAACTCTCGCGTGAATCACTCATTCGAATGGGGTCAAGGTTACTTTGGGGATTTTCCTTAATCTTTCTTGAGGAAATAGGGAAATAGTTTTCCTTTTTTCATAAGCTAGTTGTTTGAGAGTAATTCATGCGGGTTTCACACGTCTTTGTCAGATGCATTCCATTGTGTCTGTGGCTCTTGCTTTTGTTATTATTTTTCATTTCGTGGCGATTAAACCGTTTTGCAATTAACATGATTATTAAACTGCTGCTTAAAATGCATATTACTTTATTGTGGGCGTGCGAACCGGCTGGCCCAAACATATAGGCAGTTTAATTAACCGCCAATTGAGGCGTAATTGATCTTCTTATTGTGCACAGGCATGAAGCGTGTTATTACTGTATTATGGCTCCTTTAATTATGGGAGAAAATTCGACAGAGATTTTGTATTTTGCATTAACTAAAGTGTGAGCGAACAAAAGAAAGCTGACGTATATTGAGTATATAGCTAATTAATAAGTTATTTTAAAATAGAAATTATAGCTAATGGGGCAGACTAGCATAAAAATTATATTAAAAAATTGAGTGTGAATTTGCTGATACTATGTAAATTTTTAAAATGAAATTAATTAGTTCCTTGTTGTTTAGCAAATAATATATTTTGTAAGGGCTCATTTAAAGGCATATCATTACTTTTGAAATAAATAAACGTAAATGAATTTGACAGATTTAATTACAAGTTGAATTTAAAATAGCATGAATTTAAAAATAACCAATTATTACAGAAGATAAAGTCTATGTTTTTCCCTTTTCTAGTCTTACATTCCATAAAAAAAATCGTCTGAAAGGGCGCCTAACATGACATTAACCATATTTCACTGAGTACGTTGTAAGTATAGAATTACCCTAATTATCACTTAAGATTTACTACATTTTTACTACTTATTTATAAAATATCATTAAAGTTAGACATACAAAACTCACCTCTGATCCAGATATCCTTGATACGCTGACCGCCCACGCTCCGCTTTTAAAAATCTCTAACTAAAGTCAAGTATTTTCGGTGCTATTTAAGGGTTTGTGCTTATTTTAAAACAAAAAATTCACTTAATATTTCTTTTAAAAAAATTGATATTTATTAACACTTTACAATCACTGTCACTCTGTGCTGCGGTTGCACTGCGGTGGTAATTCACTCACTTTCCGGGCTTCGGTTTAGTGTCAATAAATTATACTCCGTTAAAGTTTTTCTCTTGCACAAATTGCTGAACATAAAATAGATTTCGATTTTCTTCAATTTCAATTGTTTTTCCCTCTGCTGATGTTGTTGTTGTTGCTTGGAGCGGGCGTGGGCGTGGCAGTCGTGGGCGGGCGGCGGTAACGAATTCACTCTCATAACTTTACCCATGCAGTTGGTGCTGGCAAAAGGCTAAGGAAATCAATTTTTTCAAGTTTTTGTTGTTTGCCTCCGGAAAGTTGTTCCACTCCCGAATGACTCTCTGCCGGCGCACGATGAGTTATTAATTTTCTCTGTTTTTATTTTTCTTCCCGATATTTTCACTATCCGGTGGGTTTGTGTGTGTAGAATGTGTGTGTGTTTTTCTTATTCGTTATCGTTGCGTTAAAGTGCTGACATCGCCGCTTGGCGAGTGCGGCGGCAGCTGTTTACGTCGTTGGCCTGAACGCAGCTAAGATTTTGGCAAGACATGAAAAATGTTTTGGCCTGACAATTTTCCAAACGGACAACTACGCAGCTTCCACTTGACACTGAATCAATGCGCTGGCAGATGGAAATGTATTTTCTATTTTTTGCAGACTTTTTATTAGATTTAATTCGTCGGTGCGATGACTTTGGTTTATTTTTGGCCTGGCGGAAAAGCAAAATGTGGCGACGCCCGATCTGATCTTCGTCGTGGTTGTGGTCGTGGTCGTGGTCTCTGGTCTGGTCTGGTCTGGTCTGGTGCGATCTCTGACTGAGTCTGCGTGTGTCTGGACGCCCCAATTTATAGACCGGCCGCACATGTGACGCGGGATCTCCGATCCCAGACGACTCGAAGCTCTCTCGGCTGCTTTTCTGCCTCTCCGATCGGTGTGTTATCGGGGTCCGGTCGGGCCTTTCCTTTCTTTGTCTTAGGAGCAGCGACCACACGGCAAGAAAATACGCAGAAAATAGAGATTTCAACATTATATATGGATTATCTTATCAATATAACAAAAGCAGTATCTTATTTTATTTATATTTCTGGGAAAAGACAAAATAACAAATAATCAAGTTGAAGAACTATTTTAAATGCTAATTAAAATATTGCAAATTATTTACTATAAATAGCTTTACCTTTTTTAAGATGTTAAAGAAAGGTATAAAGATAATAATAGAAAATGTAGCTGTAAGAACACCTTAAATATCATAGTAATCAATTTTCAAGGGCTTAGGGCAGGTCGGGTTACCTTTTCATATAATTTTTCCATTACAAAATGCATCTATTACTATGTTAATTTATACATTTTTAATCTTGATTAAATGATAGTGAATAAATATTTTGTTTTTAAATAGATATATTCTACGTGATATATAGCCACTTGAACTATTAGAACTTATTTTGTATGTATAGTTAACCAATTAAGTCAATTGTAAGAAATTCCAGACGTTCCATTTTTTTCTCTCTGCACACAAATCTTGATATAAATATTGATGTTGATATTAGTTATTTTTTTGCCTTGCCTCGGCTCATTCGCAATGCATTTTTTCTGACGACATAGCAATCTATGTGTCATTATGTTAATTATTAATTAGCATTAGCACAGTTCCTGGTTCTTGGTCCAATCTTTCACAGGGCCTGCTGCAGGTGCCACCTGAGGCAGCTCACCTGGATTTCTGGCAGGTAAAAACAGGGAGCATACACCTGAAACTAGTTTCGCAGGCGACGACAGGTTTCGGTGGCAGTATGTAGTAATAGTGGACATGCACAGTGATTCTCGAGTGATTTTCCGAGGTGGAAGCAAATCCTAGATTATTTCACTGGCCGCCCACGTTCTGGGATATTCCACTTGATTTCGAGTGTTGGCTCTTCATCGTATTTATTTAGCCATTTACCTTATCACTATTATGGGGTGTGGTTCGCCTCAGTTATCAAATCTCAGCACGGCGAGACACTCGACGAGGAGAATTAGTCGAGAGACTATAAATAATTGCCACTGGAAACTCAATAATCATATACCGATAACAGGGGATGACATTGAATATACGTCTCGGTGCAGATTTGATGTGTAATTACCTTCAAGGTGGTAGCAAAGGTAATTGCCGATGCGAAAAGAATACTATGACTTCAAGGAACTAACACATCTAAAAGGGGGTTTACACCTCAAACCTTCTCTCACCTCAGTTTCGATAATATTTAAGCTAGCATTTAGTTATCATTAACTTCAAGTTTTCGACATAACACACACACCAACTTGGATCTGAAATTAAAATATAACACGCGTTGTGTTTGTTCTGGCTTAGACTCTCGTTTCAAACTTTCCATCTCGTTTCCGCCTCATAAAGATGCTAAAATATTCCCCCGAGAATGACGCCCAACTTCTTGGCAGCTTCTCTGTCTGCTTATACCTATACATATGTGCCAGTTGGATTCCTCGAATATAGATTTGCTTTTGGGTTCTCATATTTTGAGGGTTGTGTTTGCATTAGCCCGATATGTGCTCAAAGACTCGTTGACATGAACTATTAGCGCAAATCTGCGATTTTTGCCAGCGAAAAGATCTCCAATTGAAGCGAGTTGTGTGATTGTGGCATCAAATAATAAAACCCGGCGAATTATGTAAAAAATAGTGGTTAGGCCAAGTCGATGGCGGTGGTGCGGTTATCAAAGCCACCGTGTGGTGTCACAGCGGTTTCGGGTCATTGACTTACCCAACTCCTAGTCTCATTATGTGCAGAGAGAGAAAAATATAAAACACAGTCTAAACTAATTAATATTAAATGTTTTTAATAGATATCAAGTCATTATATAAAGATATCATATAGAATATAATATACATAAGTATATAAAATTACATTGTTTTGATCTGAAGAATGTTTTCTTATATTTAATGTATAAAATCATGATGATAATTGACTTGTTTTTACTTGCAATATTTCATATAATACTGGTCCCATTATGATATAGAATAGCTGCAAAAAGTCATGCCTTTCTTGTTTGCAAGGTTATCATTGTGACGGGGATCTTCGATAAGCGCTAGCAAAACTTCTCCTTATCTTCATAAATCTTCTTGTTTGGCTTATATTTAACCTAAGGAAAGTACACAGCAACGGATGCGCATAAATAAAAAGTGATATGCGTTTGAACAGCTCTGGAATAAACCTATTCAAGTGTCTTTTGTTGGAAGGAGTAAATAAATTAATGACGATTAAATCCGAAAATAAGCACACATAATGGTTTGAATTTCAGTTAGATTGTGTGATCATCATAAAGCTAATTGCTATATGATATAATAATTAAGTCGAGGCTGCTGTGTCAAACAGCTTTTGTATGTGAAGTGATATATAGAAATAGCTTTTTGAATTCGAATTGCTTGTAAGGAAAATGCCGAAAAGATAGCCCATTATTTTGATTTTTAAGATTTAATAAGGAGTATAAAATGTGGAAATAAAATAACAATTTAAAATAGGATTGAAGTCGTTTAATAAAATATATATTATTTGTTGTCAATATTGAACTCTTTTTATAAGAAAACTATTAAAACAAAAAAAGGTATCCAAAGTCTTTACGGAGTTCCAACTTGATATGATAAGCCTTAAAGTATGCAGTATATTTTTTTTTAATAAGTTGTACTTAAGATGTCCAAGTAATTGTCTATAAAAAAGCATAAATAATTAAAATGAATAACTTTAATAATCCAAATATGTTTTGCCTTTACTTAAATATGTTCCTATTGAAATAGCGACCATGAACCTTGTCCTTAGGTAGATTTCCAAACATCAATATATCAATGGAATAGTTCGCTTCACAGCAAACATTGCCAAATATTAATTTTAATTAATAATCAAAGCGTCTCGACCGCCCAAATCCGCTTCAACCATCAATCAGTTAAATTGACCGGCTGATTGAAGATTCTCCAGCAACTCTCTCTCTCTGTGTTGAGTGGAACGCGGCTTTTTCCGATTTCATCGAGTAGGAAGGTTCTATATAAAGGGCTCTCGGCATTCCCCGATTTATTGCAATCGCATTTGTCCCACGAAACGCAACGGACAGCTGTCTATAAAGTGGAAACAAATCAATAATCTCTGATAAACTTTGATCCAAAGGCAAATCTAAAAGAAACAGTTACCGATCGCCGGCTCTTTGTGACTCTCTATTCTGTTCCAAAAGCTTGCAAAAAAAAAAAAAAAACAGTGAAAGACTTTTTCAATTTTAATTGTTTTATTTTAAAGTGTTTGTTTTTTAAGTGTGGTGTTAACGAGTGATTTGGTGTACATGGTGCCGGTTGTAAAAATTCTTCAAAATCAAGTCTGTCTTGGCCAGGCCAAAGAACAATTAAAAGGTATTAATACTTTTAGTTTAAAAACAGATCAATATTAAGAACTATACGTAAGGTCAGTGTTTTGGCCCCCTCAATTGAGGTCTTTGGATATCAAAAATATGTAATAAAAGAGTCGCGTGCAGAAATCGTTATATGTGATTGCATCAGCCTGCAATAAATCGCAAGTACAGGCAGGCCTAGCTTTGTTACAATATTGTAAATATTGTTTAAATAAGAACCTCAAAAAATTGATTAAAATTATAATTGTATAAAAAGGAATATCCATAAGATATTAAAATATATGTGGAAATATTTTATTTATTAGTTTTCTCAACATAATATGTACTACATATTATTTTAAACAAATTCATAACCCATAATTTCTTTCGATTACAAATTATTTCCTTAAATCCATTCGACTTAAGCAGGCTTCACTGTCTTCGAATTTGGCTCGTGGCATGTCAGCATGCACTTCACTTCAGTTCACGGCGCCAATTTGAATTTTTGAACTCGAGTGGCGTCTGAGAATGTTTGCCACTCGTCGCTAATTTTTGTCGCCGCTTCTATTTCTCTTCCTCAGCAACGGATCACAATGGAAGATTTGAAAAGGGAGATTCCAGTGGGCGAAGAGCCCTCGAAACTGGAGACCGGCGGGGTAAGTGCAAGCAAAGCTATTTTTCCATATTTTTTACAACTTCATTCGATTCGATTATTGTTTTTCTAGTCATTGGAATGTTATCATTCTTTGAATATTGCTTATAAACGTAACTTTACTCTTGAGTTCTAAGAAAGAGTATAGAGTTTCTTCTCGTAAGCATAGATTTGGTTTTGAATACAAGTTTGTTTAGAAATAAATCGCTTTAATAATGATTCGAAAACGTTTATAGTACAATTTTTGATCTTGACATTAAAATAAATTAAATATAAAGTTATCTTTATTATTTTATAGAGCGTCGAGCCTTTGATCAAAATATTACCGCTTCCGATGGCATTGGAATCGTCTGAAATGCTGCCGGATCAGAAGCCGCGTGATAATTGGGGAAACTCGCTGGAGTTTCTCATGTCCTGTATTGCTCTGAGCGTTGGCCTGGGAAATGTCTGGCGTTTTCCCTTTACTGCTCTGGAAAATGGAGGGGGAGCCTTTCTGGTTCCCTACCTTATAGTCCTGTTTCTGGTGGGGAAACCGATTTACTACATGGAAATGCTGCTGGGTCAGTTTTCCAGTCGAGGAATCGTGCAGGTCTTTGATTTTGCGCCCATGATGAGGGGTAAGGTTCTGCCTCTATTAAGAGAAATATATATTTAAATTATTAAATAATAAATTGTTATAATTTTTCAGGTGTGGGCTATGCTCAGCTGCTGGCTCTGGGCGTCTTGGCCACGTACTATGCCTCCGTGATGGCCTTGACACTGCGTTATTTCTTCGACTCCTTCGCATCGGAGCTGCCGTGGAGCTATTGCCGCGAGGAGTGGGGTCCAGGATGTGTCAATGCCACCGGAGAGGCTGCAGTTATTGCACCATCTGTCCTGACTGCGAACTTCACCATCAGTTCTTCCACGCAGCTGTACCTGGAGCGCATTGTGCAGAGGAAGACCGATACGCTGGAGGATGGAATCGGTTATCCCAGTGGCACCCTGGCCCTGATGCTGGGTCTCTCCTGGCTGACAGTGACCCTGGTTATCATTCGGGGCGTAAAGAGTTCCGGCAAGGCGGCCTATGTCCTGGCTCTGTTCCCATACGTCGTCATGTTTATCCTGCTGGTGAGGGCCCTTACCCTGCCGGGTGCCTACGATGGCGTGATGTATTTCCTTACGCCGCAATGGCACAAGCTAATGGAGCCGATGGTTTGGTATAATGCCGTCACCCAGGTATTCTTCTCGCTGGCCGTCTGCTTTGGCGTGATCATCATGTATTCCTCCTACAATCGCTTTGGGCATAATATCTATAGGGATGCCAACATTGTGACCACTTTGGACACCTTTACCTCCCTTTTATCGGGTGTAATCATCTTTGGTATCCTGGGAAATTTGGCACACGAGTCAAACACCAAGGATATTGCCAGTGTGGTGAAGGCAGGTCCTGGCCTGGCATTCATTTCCTATCCGGATGCCATCTCCAAGTTGACCGTCTTTCCACAGTTTTTCTCACTGCTCTTTTTTGCTATGCTTTTCATGCTGGGAGTGGGCAGCAATGTGGGAATGGTCAGTTGCATTATGACCGTCATTAAGGATCAGTTTGTGAATCTCAAGATCTGGATAATTGTGGTGGGTCTATCTACGATTGGATTCCTGGTTGGTTTGATCTACATTACTCCCGGTGGAGAGCACTTTATCACGCTGCTGGATTACCATGGCGTGACCTTTGTGTCCCTGGTTTCGGCCATCTTTGAGTTGATTGCCGTGGGCTGGATCTATGGTAAGATATTGGAACTTAATCATAGAAAACCACTTTTACTAATTGATTTAACCCCCAAAAAGGCACCAAGAGGCTTTGCCAGGATGCGGAGTACATGCTGAACATCAAGACTTCCGTATATTATAGGATATGTTGGTCCATAGTCACCCCTTTGACCATGATCATCATCCTTGCCTACACTTTGCTCACCATGAAACCGCTCACCTACAACGATCGTGAATTTCCCCTTGGTTTTCGGCGTAGGAAAATATTTAGTTTAAATTTGAATAACATTCTTAAAAGGCTTTTCTTTTGATTACAGTTATTGGTTGGGCTCTGACTACCTTTATACTCGGCCAGCTTGTCTACTGGGCCTTGTATGCCAATTGTAAACAGCCCAAAGGTTCGCTAAGGAGCAGGATTTCTAATTCCTTGAAGCCGCATTCCGATTGGGGACCTCTGGACTCCAAGACGCTGATGGACTACCAGATGTTCCTGCGGAACAGAGAGGAGGTGGAAGCCACAGGAGTCCCACGTCGCAGCTTTTGTTACAAAATTTACGATCGAATTTTTGGCTAGGCCAGCAGGGTTTTATATAATTCTATATATCACATTCTGTTTGTATGTAAGGCATAGTTCCTTTTTGATAGTGTATAAGTGTACTTAATCCGTTTTATTTACACATTTATTTATTCAAAGTGAAATCAAAACCAAATTCAATTTCTCGAAATATTGCTTTTAAAACCGTTCCGGTTCGCTATTACATATATATTTTTCTATTGTAGTTTCTCGTATTGTAACATTAATTCCTAATTGGAAATTTTGTATTCAGCCAGTGTGCGGCATCATAATTGTTCCTAATATATTTTGTACACACTTTTATTTATTCAAAATGAAATCAAACAAAAATCAATTATCTCGAAAGTTTACTCGTAAGCAATTCCAATTGCTGTCAGTTAAGAGTTTCAATTTTTCATTTCCAGCACTGGCTCTTTTGTTTTTCATTTCCCAGTTCGACTGCTAAAAGGTAAGACAACTTTATCTGAGCCATTTTCAATATTTAAAACTAACAATTAGCAAGGCTGCCTGGGTTCCCATTACTCTTGGATGCATTTGTCTCCGTCTCTGGCACAGCGTTTCACAGCAGCACAGACATGGACATTTATTTGAGTTTCAATTTGTTTTGCAAGTTTCGCACACTTTGCATATAGTTTTTGTCGTTATTGTTGCTCCTGTTGCTGAAGGATGTTGCTGCCTGTTGCCGCTGTCCATCTAGCCATCTTCATTCGCAGTTGAAAATTAATATGTCGGTTCTCTGGACCTGCAAATGTCTTAATTAAAAGTTATTTTGGCTATTCGCTTTTTCTCGTCTCCATTGAGGGAGCGGGCAACGAATTTCGTTTTGGCAAATGCACATAAAGCTGTCAAGGACAGTCGCTCGCTCGGCTTGACATTTGTCCTCATCGCTGACAGCCGCATTACGTATACGTCGCATTAAGTATACGCAGCGTTGACTGCAGATAGAGACAGAGAGAGAGACAGAGAGAGAGAGAGAGAGGGAGCTTCTGAAGCATTGCACAGAGACAACGGCGAGGAAATTAAAAAAGTTACCCTCCAAATGGCTCACGCTCTGATTTCACAGCAAAAGGTGCAAGAAACAATATCAACAAGGAAAAACTTGCCAACAACTAACAGGCATTGAAGTTTAATAAAATCCTCCTTTAAGCAGTCATCCTTTCCCCCAAACCGTACTCCGTGTGTTTTTCCTTGGCTGCAGCTAATGAAATAACTTTGTGGCAACTTTTGCCTTTGCCGGAATTTGCTTAAAGCGCAAATAAATTGCCGAGATTGCAGCTACTCGCAATCAAAGGCCTTCGAATTGCTTAAATAAAGTTTGCCTTAAAGTCCGCCACTGCCGCGCAAATCATTTACAATAAGCGGAAATAATTTGCCGAAAATCCACTGAGTCGCGGCGGGTGGTTGGGTGGCTCAAGGGGTGGTGGTGGTGGTGCCTTGTGGATGCGGCGCAGTGATGCACGTAACCCAAAGAGAGGAAACAATTGGGGGCAATTTATTAAACGGCTGCTCGCCTTGCAGCGGACACTCGGTGGGCAAAGGGCATCCAAAACGAGTATGAGTAAAAAATCCAAACAAAAGGAAACACAAAAACCAGGAATATAGAACAATTGCTGAATGCTTTAAGCTTTTATTTTCCAGGGATATCAATTATGAATATTTTAAATGTATTAAATAATATTAAAAATGTTGGGAGTAGCGGAAACAGCTTTAAGTTCTGAATTAAAACTTAGAGGGAAAGTACTATAAACATTTGCTTGGGAGGTTTCATTTAATCAAGCTTTAAATATGCAGTTAATATCTGTAAAATAATCGTTAAGTTAAATGAATGTATCAGCTTAAAGTAAAAGTAAAATTCTTCTTAGTTAATATTAAAATATACTTTTTATATGTCTCCTTTTAATCTCTCCCAAAATTAATATTTCTGGATCAAAGTATACCAAAAGTATTAGTTTGTACCACTTTTCAAGTTCTTCCATTAAAGCTGCAGCGCTTGATTAAAGGCTACCTGTTTTTCTTTCAGGAAGGTGAATGTTTTCTGCTTCCTATTTTCTTTTTTTTTGCTTTCATATTTTTTGTGAAGGTGAGGAGATGCAGCCAGCATTCAAGAGTGCGAAAGCTGCTCGTCATGCGTGCTGGCAGCGGGAATCGTTCTGTGACGTTTTCAGCGTTTTTGTTTTGTACTCTGCCACCGCTTCCATCACCGTCATACACACACACCGCCATGGCTTGTACCTGTGCAGACAGCGTCTACCTGGGCTACGTGAGCCGCTTGAGTGATTCACCTGCTCGCCGGCATTTGCATTTTGCATGCTGGAGCGACTCCTGCTTCTGATGGCTGAGGTCCTGGCTCCCGACTGTTTCTGCCTGGTGCCGCGTGCCTTCTGCATCCTTCCTCCTGCGTCCTGCCTCCTGCCTCCTGGCGTCTGTTAGCTGCTGGTAATGGCTGTGACAAGCATTAGGGAATTATTTTAGAGACCTCGCATGTGGCGGCCATTAAAGGACCTGCTGAAGGTGAAGCCTCTGCTGACGATTTGATTTGTAGGCCAACACACACACACATTCACACTCCAAAAAAGGAGCAGGTGGCAGGATGCAAAAACAATGGTGTGTGCCAGCAGCAAGTATACAAAAACACAGCCAATGCCAAAATGGTAAATGCGAAAGCCAAAGCCAAAGCCGTCAGGTGCAAAAAGCCATGTCTCACGGAGGAAAATCAAGGATTCTAAAGAAACTAAGATAGTATTTATGATATTCCAAGTTATTTGACTTAAGGTTTTGTAAATAATGATTAAAAGGAGGGTTAAAAGAATACAATTGCATAGTATTTAGAGCTGCAATATCCTTTCACATTAAATATCGTACAAATACTTGGTTTCTAAGTATTCAAAAAGATTAATAACTCAATTTTAACAATGTAATTTTTATGGTAATAAAACCAGTAAAATTTTTCCCTGTGCAGCTTTTATTGTAATCTGCATTTAAGTGGCTTTCTTTTGTGCTCCTTTCGGGTATGGGGAATTTACTATTCACTTTTTTTTTTCCATGTTGTCAGATCCTTTTTGCAGCTTCACACCTTCCAATTTGGCGCACTTTTCTTGGCGACGACCATTGGCTGCAATTTTTCGGCTAACTGGCGCTCGTTTGAAATGCTAATATGCAACTTTGACGCGATTGCCGTTTGGTAGTTCGCCGTTTGCCATTCGACCATTGCCGGCAATTGCCAGACAATTTTATTTTCGCTACGCTTATGGGCAAGATAAGGGCCGGATGCAATTTTCCCTACCAGGGACTTCAAAGGGAAGGCCACGGCGGCTGGCCTTAAAACGTAACCCAGTTGCGGTGGCTTTAAGAACAGCATTTTTTTCGTTGGTTTTTGTGGGTCCGTTTCAGTGCTCGTCAAACTGTAATTCTGAATTTCCAGACTGCAAGGGAATTACTTTCGGCATCCGGCAAATTGATTGCCATCAGAGGAACCGCTCTACCAAACCGCCTGCCTTCATTCCGTTGCAATTTTCCCACAATGTGCTCCGCCTTTTGGCCCCCAAAAAACGAGCGAGCTACCGACTCTTGTATCCTTTTCCTTATTTTTCAGTGCCTTGCCAGTGTAGTGCATGCAAATATACGTGAGCGTAAAAATTTCCATATAAACTGCTGCTGCAGTTGCCACTTCGCTCTCCGGCAATTCAAGTGCAAATATGTTGGCATGCCGCACTTGAGTGTCAAGTTCCCGGCACATGAAACGCAATTGTTATGAATTGGCCCAGCCACGCCCATTCACCGTCCACCGCCCTCAACAAACACGCATATAGGTATATACATATGTATATATGTATATGTAGGTATTGTGTGTACACATAAGAAGGTGTGAGGCCCCCGTATGCAAATGCAAATGGATAGATCAAACAGACGTCATCACAACTGAATGCTGATTGTTTGCCGGCATTTAAAAGCAAGTGCCGAAATTTATTTTCACTGTCCCCTCCCCCAAAAATAAATTGAGTGCCTGACCGGCAATCCTGTGAAAATTCGAAGCTCACTCGGTGACAGTTTATTTAAAGAATGCACTGTTTACGGCATAGAGAAGTGAGATATATACAATTTTAGTGCTGAAAATACCTTAAAACCAAAAAAAGAGATGATTTGTTTTGAAATAAGTCTTGTGACAGTTAAATTTAAATGGTTTACGAGCTGATTTTGAGTGGTTAAACCATTGCCTCAATAATTTTCTTATAAAGTCCTCGAATTTTTAGCTTAAGCATCTTGAAAGGAACCTCTAAAAGGCATCTCTGCCGCTCGTTTTTACCAATTTGTCGTGTTAAAGCCCGGCTTAAGCCTGTCAACATATGGCCCACATCAATCGCTTAATGCCTGGCCATCTCACAGAGTCTTAGGACATTCGATCTTCGGCCAGTCGGCCACTTGTTTACTCCTTTTCCACATGCTTTGTTTCCACCTCTGTGCTGTTATTGTTTGTGACACCGGGTCCGGGTGTGAGTCCGGGTCTCCGGCGCTCCAGCTCCAGCTCCAGTCTCAGGGGCTAAGCCCGGGCTGCTGGACAACAAGTGCAGCTGTCAGAAGGAAGTTTACGGGCCAAACGCACCGAAATAACAAATGCTAGAGCAGGAGGGATGGGGAGTTTTTTCAGGGGGAAAAGCACTGGGAAAAGCGATGGGACAGCTGCAACAGCTGGTTCTGGTTATGTTCTGCTCCTGCTGCCGTTGCCGTTGCTGTTGCTGTTGCCGGTTGTGTGTGATCCTGGCCACAGAAACGTTGATTGGCCAGCGCCGGAAAAAGAAGTTATAACCATCAAGGCGGAAACGGATGTGGCACAGACGTTTCCGTTTTTTCTCTCCCCCCTCCCTAGTCAGCTGCACTCACACTCACACACACACTCGTACACGAAACTATATTTTAACCCCTTCGCTGGCAGTTTTCACTTGCAAAATGCTGCATACATTTGGGCGGCCTCCGTTTTCCACATCCCTTTGCCATCCTGCGGCAACACCGCACAATGCCTGTCAAATAAAATCATTTTGCATTGCAGAAATACAACTAGAAAAAATAGAAACTAGGAAGTAGAAACGAGCAGGGAGCAAGGAGCAAGGGAGCAAAGAGCAAGGAGCCAAGGAGAAAAGGCCACTCGACTGCGTTTAGCGGCTAACCGCAAGCACTTCTAATCAAAATATTAAAGAATTTCCTTATGGCTGCGTCTGCGGTTTGCTCTGTGCTGAAAATATTTAAATTCTGCAGCTGCCGAGCTGCCTTCTAATTGAATGAGCCGTCGTTGCTCTTAGACTTTGTTGTGGCTTTTCCT